ACGCACTTTATTAAATTCATTACTGACCTCCAAAGTACTAGCTCTAGGTGAAGTAGAACTGCGTCGCTTAATTGTAGTTGGATCTGTTCGGGTTCGCCATAAAGACGGTCTAATTGCAGTTTCATTTACAGTATGACCATCTTCATCATCTGGAAAATCAAAGCCTCCCAAAAATGTTTTTTTATCGGTCTCCTGCGCATTATTGGATGAATAAGGATCCGAAGAGTTGCAGGATGAATATGTGCTTTTGATCTGGAGGTTAAGAGATGAACGAGGGAAAAGCGTCGAGGAGTTAGATGAAATTTGAGCGATAGATGTTTTATAGGAATCTCGAGTTGTCGACTTATAGATTGACTCATTTTTTGTGTTGTCATGAGAGAAATTGAGACAGTTGACAACAGAAGTAGCAGGTTGATCTTGTTTGTCTATGAGCTAAAAGAATTGTTAAAAAATCATGAAATGAACGAGTTTTAATCAAAAAATAAATCAGTCTTAACAGTCTAGGCAAAACGTTATCGTTGCCAAACATTTACAGTACACTAAGCAAAGCCTTCATCAGATTCAGGCTTTTGGGAACATTGCAGAGGGTTAAAAACTGCCTAAAATATCATGAGACAATAATAGATGAATATATTTGGCCTGAGTAAGTTAACAACACCCAAACAGGATGTAGACCAAATGAGTAAAGGATAATTAATAGAAAAAGTCCATATCAGAACAAGACTTACTCGATTTTTCTTCCCTTTTATAAGGGAACTGGAAGCTTTACTAGGTTGTTCCATATGCTGAGAACATTTAGGATCATTGCTTAAACCAAAAGTTTGTCTACCAGCTTTTGGGGCACCCAGTCGTGTAATCAACGCAGGACAAATATTAGCCAAATCGCATGGGTCGCGAGAAATTGGCTTGCCACCCTTATCCAAATTTTCCCCAGGTAATGAGATAATTGGCCTTGAAGAAAGAGAAGAGGGTGGTTCTTGTGGAGGGGAATGATGACCACTACTATGTGAACTTTTTGCAAACCGTGACTGCTTATTAGAAGTCCATAGATCCCCTTTGGCATCAGATTCAACAAATCTTCGCTTTAAAAGAATGTCTGAAACTGTGGTATGCTGTTCTCCAAC